GTATCATTACCAGCTGAATTAAAAAAAAGGCTAGAAGTAATACATAAAAAATTTTCAAGTACAACTTTGGCAATGTTCTTCACATTTTTAGAATCCTTTACTCTGAGATTTAAACACAGTTTCTATACAGTTTTCTAAGTTAGAGCAAATAAAGTTTTACTTTTCTTGCATCCAAAATATAGGCAATATTTGCATTTTGAGAAGAGACTGCAAAACAGAGATGATCAGCAACAAGGAGATATATATTTTTGTTCATTAATGATTTTTTCATTATTGCAGTTTCAAAAACAGATCTTGGACTAGCAGCAAGAGCTGGGATAAAGAGCTTTCCCCAGTCTGCACCCCTGGAGGGAAAAAAAGGGGGGAAAAAAAGAAAAGAGCAAGCTATTTGAGAACTGGACAAATATCCGGCCAAGACAAAATTAACCATTGATCTTGTCACAGCAATTTCTAAGCATTATTGATTTGATAGCCCAGGGTCTGCATACAGTAAAACAGCATCAGCAAAGAAGTACGGTGACAGAAGGACTCAAGCGTATTGTAAACAAATCTTTCAGATACCAAGGGTAAAAATTTACTCTGGAAGAGATAAGGAAAGGTAACTACAAACATTTTCCATGCAGGGCAGCAAAACAAGTACATGGATGTAGATCGTATGTCTATAAACTTTGCACTGGAGAATATGATTATTAGCATTTAAGTAGTACTCAAGACAGATCAATAGATTTCTAAGGAACAACAGAAAAAGAAAAAGCCTCACAATGTCAGAAAGAGTGCCAGACCAGAGGTTCAGAGGGTCCGTTAGCCATTTTCTGTATTAATTATCAGTTACTTCAGTAGGAAGTGAAGATCAATTCAACTGGGCTAATTATCAAACAATCAGTCTACAGGGAAAACTTCTTTCCCAGCGCTGGTGGTTGTTCATTAGCCCAAAGCATGACAGGATACGTCCTCTGTGCACTTAATGCAAAGAAGCATGGGTGTAAAGCATGGATGATGGGAGAACCCAGGTAAAGCAAGCAGAGCTAGTTCACATTCCCATGAAGCTAGCCCTGGAAACAGACTAGCTATGTTCCCTTGGTGCTGAACACAATCATCCCAAATTAATAATCCCTCCACAGACCCACACAAATCCTCATGGTGCCTCTCATAGCATCCACCTACATATGATCATGATTCGGGTGCATATGTATGGTTCTCTTCCCTCCAACACACATATTTGGTGTGGGTTGCTCATTGTTTATTATAATCAATGAATTTCCCTGTGAAAGTGACTTTGTTTTGCATATGTAATGGGTATGTAAGGTGAAGAAAACATTATGTTAATAAGGTGCTGTCTTTTTCTTGGAAAAAAAAACCTAGTTTGTTGTGTTTAACTGTCATTGAACTCTATTTATCTCTATTGTAAGAAAATGCAAATGAACATCCCCCTTCTCTCAATAAGGCCCATTCACTTTGAGTCCTCCCAGTCTAAACAGCCCTGGCTTATTTACTTTTAACCTCTTTTTGTACAGACATCTTTCAATGCCTTTAATTAGCTACATTACTGTTCCTGACAATCTTCTATTTCAACAACATATTTTACTTTTATTAGAAATAAACAGCCTTCAAGATAAGATCCTTCTAAAGTGCTTCACATACGCTTCCCTCTTCTTGACCAACTTAAATAATAGCATGTCATCCACAATTTTTGTCACCTTGCTTTTTCAGCCACTTCTCCAGACAATGAATAAATACATTTATCCACTCTGGTATCAGCAGATATCCTGTGACACTCGACTGTTAAATTTCTTGCCATGCTGAAAATTGGCTTTATATTTTTTTAATACTTTTTTCCCTCTCTTTTGTCTCTGCAAAATTTCCCTTCCTTTCTTTCACTCTCCCTCTTTGTCTTTGTGTGACTGTCCAATTCCCTTTCAACACACACAATCACGATCTTCTGCTTTCTTCAGAATTTTTACTCAGCAGTGGGCTGTTAAAGTTGACAGGCTGCAGAGAAATCACTAGGACCATAGACACAACGAAGTAACTTGTAACGTTTATATTTCCCTTATCCACATCACATATTGGAATGCCTATAACCAGATATCAATATGTGAGAAAGCAGATGTTAATTTGCTCTGGTTAATAACTGGCTACAAACAAGATCCTTATCTGTTCAATTAAACACATAAAAATTAGAAAGAATTATAAACAAATGGAAAGGAACATTACAGAACACCACTGTCCTCTAAATGCAATGATGCTGCTCATTTCTGATTATCTGATTCCTTCTTCGAATTCATCCTTCACAAATTCAAGGCACTGTATTTCCCAGAAGTCATTAGCTCACTGCACCTTTACTTTTAAACGTACTAAATGAGTCGTTTCAACAGATTTTCCATTTCACTTCCAAACTCTTCAGCCTGAACACATTTTGGGCATAAAAAGTTTACCTCTTCTTGAACTGTATACAAAAAGAACTGCTAGCCTGAGTAAAAGCAAAGCTTCATTTAGCCCAGGAACCCACCTCTGCCTTTGAGGGTGAACAAAGATACTCAGGGAATCAAAGGAAAGCAAACGGTTTTCCTGAAACTTTTTCCTATTTTCCAGTGATCTTTGCCTCACAGCTGCCTGAGCTGGGAGCTGCAACTAAACCTTCACGTTTAATTGCACCTTCTGAATCTATCAGACAAGATGAAGGCCTTTTCCAGCCTGGGCTTTTTCCCTCTGTTGATACACAGGCCTCCTTGATGTTCTGTGGCAATAAGTTTCAAGTTGAATTATTCATTGCATCGGAAAAAGAAAACAAACAAAAAAAAACCCCAAATTCTGCTACCTAATAATTTTACTGTCCCTTAGCTCCAAGGTGATGAAAAAGAATTAATCCCTATTTGCTTTCTCTATGCCACACGTAATCTTTGTGCATTCCTGTGACAGTTCCCTCCACCATCTTTTTAATTTGTTTAGATTCTCCATACATAGAAGCGATTCATGCTTCTGACCATCTACATTTTTCCATTCACAGCAGGTGTGGTATGGATTTATGTCACTGAACAATAACGTTGACTTTTTTTGTCTCTGTTCCTTGTATGTTCCTAATACATAGAATTTCATTTTTTGACTTTCCCCAAATATTGATACTTTCAGAAAACTATGCAGAAGCATCACCTGAAAAGAGTATCAAATTCAGAATCTATCCCTGTGTACATAAAGTTGAGTTATTTTTTTCTGTACTTTGCACTTAATCTATTCCTGTAAACAATTTTTATCAGCATTAACACTAAGGTAGATTCCCAGAGAGAAGAGAAGCTCCAGTGATTAAGGCACCCAAACCATATTTAGATGATACAGAAGCATAATCCAATAGAATCTCAAACTCTCCAGACAATAGTAAAATAGTAATTTCTTTCTGCACCTCAGTCCTCTTTTATGCAAAAGGAATAATAGAGATGCCTGTGACAAATGACCTTCCTCTGTCTCAAATAAGACATCTAGGGGAAAAAAATAGAAAGTTTTCCAGGCTAGGAGGTTCTGTCAGTTTTCCCCACCTCCACTTTTCTCATAACCAAAATAAAATAAGAATGTCAGCAAGTTCATTACAGATAGAGAGAAAATCAGGTATATGCCTTCTGGATCTCTGCCAGATAAAATTTATTTCAGGAAAGCAGATGCTTTCTGCAAGGAGTTTGTCAAAAATCCTACTACTTCAGCAGAGATAAAAAGCACTGACAATGTTTTCATCACACATATTTATATGATAAATAACAAAAATTAGCACATTTCCCATACTGGAGATCAAGGAAGGATATTCAGACAGAAAGGTGAAACTGTTTCAATTCTTATGAGATACAACAACAGTGAAGGAGATACATCTTATTAAATATTTGTTACACTTGAATAAAAAACATACTTAATAATTAACTGGTGTGCATTGCATTAACATAATGATTGCCCAATTAAATCAAAATTAAAATTTAATTTGAGACACTTTAAGTACAAGGAGATTAAGGATAAAATATGAATATCCTGAGTCCTTAGTTTTCAGGAGTGGGGAGGTGATATGTGGCAAAGTAGCTCAAGCAGAATTAGCAATTTAGAAGGGATAATAAAATACTCTTTCATCTGCACCTGGCCTGCACATTTGCACCAGCTAGCAAAAATGCCAAACAAGAGGCAGTCTAGGAGATTTCCTCTCCATTTCAAAAATAAAAAGGACTCTCTACCATCTACCCCAGTCCACTATATGGGTTATGTAATCTTTTCTCACATCCTCTCATGACAGTCCTATAGATAAAATAGGACACGCTTCAGGGGAGAATTTGCCAAACAAGTATATTCATTTGAAACACTTTTTTAATTTAAAATTACAGAACTGTAAGGTTGAGAGGTCTCGACCAACAGGTCATCTTGCCAGGCTCTTTCTCCACTACCCATCTCTTTGGTGTCCCTCCTCCTAAGAAGATCATGTCTTCTCCATACAGATATCCAGGACAATCAGGGTTTCTATCCTCTGGGACATCAAAGGCAGCACACTCATACAAGGGGTGGTATTCCTGCTTAAGTCAGACCAGAAATGTCTATAGCTAGCTCAGTCCAAGGATTTAAACAAATATTCTCAGATTTAATGTTCTAGTAAAGCAGAGATACTATTCACAGTTACAAAAGAAAGCTTGAATTCTAAGTTTCCACATCTTTAGTAAAAAACACACATCTCATTAAAAGTTATGATATTATAGAAACTACATCAGCAGTGCCCTTTAGAAGATGCAAATACTATCATAAATACCACTTAGACACAGTACAAGGCGAGTCCTTCAAACTTAAAGTTTAAAAATCACTTTTACATGGATACTATTTAAGGAAATAAGTCAATGTCAAACCTCAGTTACTACCAGTTCTCTTCTTTTTCCCACTACTGAGACATCCATGACTGTGGGGTTTTCTTAGTAGTACAACGAAAAACATGCCAATAACATTAGAGGCAACATAAAGCACCAAAGCAAAGATTAGGTCATTACCTGTTATATTGCAAAAAACACGGAGTGGTCCAAGTGGTCCACTTCCATCAGAATCGATGTAGAAGAAACCTGACGTCTTCCCTTGGTGTCGGTAAGCCTCGCAAGATTGTTCATAGATAGCTTAAAAAGAGAGAGAGAGATTGTATCACATAAACGAGGAGAAAACAGACAGACCCATTTTGTACATGAGCGCTGCTTTAATCATTGCCATAACATAAACTGTTGGTTCACTTCTCATTAGCACATGAAAGAGTTTACTGCACTTGGACCTGAGTCCATGCTCAAAATTAGGCTTCCTTGAACTTAATTTATTCTGGCTTTAAAGATATGAGTATTGGTCTTATTTTGGATTAAAGTATGTAAATACTTAAGTAAACGGATATGAACTTTCAAACATGCCATCACCTAATTATGGAGCGATACATATATACACCCACATAATGATATTTAACAAACATACACATATGTACATGATTTACTACTTAGGCATGCACTCAAGCCTTGTCATTACAGAAGACAGGTATTTTTGTTAGTCTTCAGCTTCCCTGAAGGATATTGTCAACAGGTAACTTTAAGGCCCTACCCGCTATCTACTGCACAAGTGAAAATATGCTGCTGCTCCTTAGCAGAAAAGCTCAAGCTCAGATACGGTCTCCATCCTGGGTGATGATTTTATGCTTTAGATCTTTTTTTTATACAACCAGCTCTTCCCCTCTGCTTATCAATATTCTTCTTTTGGAGGATTAGTGCCCACAAAAATGCCAAGTGGTTAATAAAACAAGCACAGTAGGTCACTGAGAGCAAGAACAGAAGGAAAAACTCCCACAGGACAGTGCAATTCCTTGTATTTGAGGCGCGTTTTCAGGCAAGATATTGTAACTTCACACGGGGCAAAGAGAAAACCTCTACAGAGAGGCAGTTATGAGGTATCCAAAAGCCACATGCATGATCCTGGATTTTGAACAACAGTAACCTTAAATCTCATTACAGGAGGATTGATTTTTTTTTTTCCACCTACTTAAACACTTACCTGATTATACTGACAAGGTTATTCTCTGTAACAGCTTATGATTGTTCAACTAATTGGCAGCAAATACAATACAAAAACACAGACTGACTTAACAGATAGATCAAGGCTTCATTTTTTCTTCCTATGAGACAGAGTTATTTGGAAGACACAGTAACGGAAATGCAAGCAAACAGAATTACCTCTAATTTTTAAGTAAGCTTTTGAGTATTACTAGTAGCAGAACACACAGAAATTTATTTGGACATCATCTCTGGTTGCTGTGAGGCCAAATCTACCTCTTTCTTACCTCTTAATTTTAAGAGCACATTTAGCTACTATTTGCACATTCAAACATCATTATACAGCAAACACTGATCTTACACAGATTGGGAGATACTCAGGGGAACTTGTGAATAACCCATTATTGAATAGCCACTTCAAATCTTTTTTCCAAGCCCCTCACACCTCAGGCAGCAGAGCAGTACAGTTAAACTTGATATGGAGTAATATCTGCTGTGTCAAGATTGTAAATGCAAAGTTCCCCATGCCTTTCATCTGGAAAGAACTCAAGGAGGTTTGCAGATTGAGTGCAGGAAGAGCACTTCCTCACCACTTCTGAAACACAGTCCCTCTGAAACACAGAGCCTCTCCTGTAGAAGGCAGCAGTTGCTCTGCACCAGCAGTAATAGTTCCACGTTCCCACTGTGGTGCACGCATGGGCTCCCATCCCTCCTTTCCTCTCACTCCCTAAAAGTAGTTTCTCTAATGGAATAAATTTCAGAAAGACTTAAATAGCCAACCTGAAGCAGCCTTTTCTGACTACTACTCTGAAGAGTGCTGTAAGATAGTTCACTTCTCAGATTTTAATGAAATTCGAACATTTCTTCACTTCTGCCAACAAAATAGAATCACAGTTCTAGGGACTCTGATCCAAAACTGGCTATGAATTAAGAGTCTCACCAGTTAATCGCTTGTACCATTCACTGAAATATGCTTTCCCCTTTTATGTTTCTCTCCTGACCAGATATCTTTAGCAGGCAGAACATTACTAAGTGCTAAGTATGCACAGCGTTACCCTTCCTGGAGTTAAGAAGCTGCTTAAGGTAGTCAGCACCTGGTGAGAGAGTGCTTTAATTAGTATCCATCCTATAATAAACAGAATTAAGAAAGCTTCTTCCTGACAGTCATTAGCCTGTAAACCCAACACAGCCTGATGTAGAAAGCACTGCAGGAGTCCGGATCGCTAAATCCCCCCTCTGATAGTTGGCCAAGAGTACACATTAAATGCAAATAAAATAAAATCCCCAAACCAGAACCTATTCTTCCACTATTCACAACCTCAGGGGCTAACAGAGAGTCTCTCAGCTGCCAAAGTGCTGACTAAAGCAACTAGAATACGGAGGGTCAGGAGAAAGACCGTAACAGGCAATTAAGTAAGCAATCAAGGAATCATGGTTTGATCAATTTGCAAAGTTCTCAAACTGCAGTTCACTTCGTGAATTTGCTATCATCATCATTACAGGACACTTTATCTTGTCTCATTAGGGAATATGCCAATTGTTTCCCCTGAACTGTTTGCTAAGTATTTTTGAAGACGCAGGATGGTGCAAGGGGCAGAGATAAAACTACTATGTTGTCAGTGAACTGGCACAGCTGGAACCTTTCTTCATCACGAACTTTTTCTTACTAAGTGTTTTGCTGCTTCTTGACTGTCAGTTTGGCTGGAGCCCAGATATACTTTTTTTCAAATTAGTAAGGAAAGATGTGAAGATTCTGCCATGAATAAAGTGGGCAGACGCAAACAGAGATGATCTACTTACCTTTAGATGGCCCCTTTGTCACTGCAACTTTGAGGAAAAAAAAGGCTGTACAGAGCTAGAAAACAGGCTAGGGGTGTTCAACTGGCACAAATCCGAAAGGATGCACAAGCTTCAGTGAAACTACAGTTAAGTCTGCCAGAGGAAAATCCATCCTGGTGTGTTTTCCTTTTGGATATATGAGAATTCCAGCAGTAAATACTAGGGAGTAGCAGAAGAAGTGGGAAAAGGCTATAAACCTCAAGCTCTAGCACATAAAACATATTCTAACTATCATGACTTAGAGAAAAGTTGTTTTGGTGGACAGTTTATTTTGTAGTTGCACGCTGGAAGTTTCACATGTCTGTATTATAAGCATTTGGTACTGCATACTTCTAGACTGGATGGGCCATTGCTTTTAGTTCTCTCTGTTGCTATTTTATGCTGTAATAATGCATCAAGGAGAAAATGATATTTGTTTTCCAGTCACTGACAGAGGCCCCCACAGACATTTCAAGTGCACTATCCATTCCAAGCTCTGCTCAACATCTTTGCAGGCTGAGTCGATTGCTCGTTTCAGAATAAAGTTACAAAATTCCATTTGCTGCTGAAAAAGGCCCTATTACTCCAGTGACAACTTGAAGCTGTCTTTATGGTTCAAAGAAAGACAAGTCATTCTTCTCTTTATGCAATCAGAAATATCATACAAGAGTAAAACACAGATGAACAGTCAGCTGTGACTGTTAAGACCCCAGAGCCTTTAACTTTGAAAACTGCCTTCATACTTATGTTCTGTTTTGTGCCAGACTTCTCTCATGTAGACAGAGATGTGGTCATTTTGAGAACAGTAGGAAACCGTTACTGTAGTTGTCATTAAAGAGTCACCAGCCATTTATGCGTGTAATAGGGCCTCACTTTCAAAAAGCAAGTCCTAAGTGCAACTATGGAACTGTTGACAAATGCATACATTTTCATGTCAAACAACGTTTGCAGTAATTATAGCTTTTTAATAAAGGAAAGGTATTCATCAGTTCGTTCAGCTTAGAACCCATCAAAAATTTTCAAGCATTATTTTTAAATTTAAATAACAACAGAAACACAAACAAAAAATAGTGATTTTATTCCTTTCTGTGAAGCATTTTAATAGTGTTTATGCTTTCACTCCTTCAAGTTTGTTTTCAAATTTTAAAACGTTCACCAAAATGGAACCAAAACAACAAAAATAATGTTTTTTATAAGCTGCTCATGCAGAACTTGTTTTCTCATTAAAATGCTTAATGAAGCACTTTTTGAAAACATAATTTCAAAAATGAAACCTCTAAGTTTTCTTTTGTCTCAAAGCAGCAAGTTTTCCTTCTTTAACCCTCCCATACTGCTTTTAGACTAATTTTGACTTGTATCAGCCATTAAAGATAAAATGATAGTTTCCAGCAACATTTGTTTCACCGAGACAGAACAACTGAAATCATAGTATATGATTTTCAGCCCCTTCTGCGTGTCCTCAGGCCTTTTTGGGACGGAGCTGCACTGCCATGCAGCACAGCCCTGCAGTTCCTGCAGGCAGTCAGGATGCAGGTGTTTGCTTCACAGGGTTGCATTTCACTAGTGCTTGACGGCAAGAGATGTCAGCAGTGCACATGAACCCACGCTATGCCCCTTCAAGTACGGCTTGGACCTCATAGTCAGGCGTGGCAGGTAAAAGCATGAGGGTAAACTACAGCACAAGGCAAAACCCAAAGTGTAAAAGGTGTCACAGGGGCAGAGTTTGGCTGATGGGCTATTGCTGGTAACAGCGGCTATTCCAGGAAGACAAAACAAGAAACAACTTGACTCCAAGGTCCCAGACTTAGTAAGGGAACCCGGACATCAGAAATATCTGTTTTACTTGGTCACAAAGAGAATGGATGTCTCTTATTGCCTTGTTGGGTTTTTTGGTTTTTGTTTTTTCCCCTTCCCAGATTCACTTACGAGCTATAACATTGGACCTTGTGCTGACATTTTTGCAGTGCTCTTTAAGGAATTTTTTTAAAGGCTACTGCTATGTTTCACAAAGAAATTTAAAATCCTCCCAGAGCTAGCTACTGAAACTGATGCAGCCTGAGAGTCTCACTCTTCATATCAAGAGCTGCTTCTTTAGGTACTACATGTGCTCTTCCCT